TCCTGTTGAGGTTGTACAAGATGTTGGTGAGGCCTCTTCTGGAGTACTGTGTCCAGTTCTGGTCACCCTGTTATAGGAAGGATATTATTAAATTGGAGAGCATTCAGAGCAGATTTATCAGAATGTTGTCGGGTATGGAAGGTTTGAGTTATAAAGAAAGGCTGGGACTTCTTTCAGTGGAGTGTAAGAAGTTGAGAGGGTTTATACAGGTTTATAAAATCATGAGGGGTATAGATAGGGTTAATGGTAGGTGTGTTTTTTCTGAGCGTGGGGGATTTCAAGACGAGGGGCCATATTTTTAAGGTGAGAGGAGAGAGCTTTAAAAACACACAAGGGGCAAATTTTTGACACCATGTGATTCATGTGTGGAATGAACTTCCTGAGGAAGTGGTGGATGCGGCGCAGTTAGATTGTTTAAAAGACATTTGAATAAGTGCATGAGTAGGAAAGGTTTGGAGGGATATGGGCCTGGTGCAGGCAGGTGGGACCAGTTTAATTTGGGATTATGTTCGGCATGGACTGGTTGGACGAAAGAGTCTGTTTCCGTACTGTATGACTCTGAATGTGTTCTGCACTCTGTTCTGCTACCCTGATGCAATTTATATGGTATGTAAGCAAAACAATATTTTTCATTGCATCTCGGTACGTCACAACAATAAATTAAATTCAAACTCAAAATAAATGGATGTCTTTAGAGTGTTGTATGTATGTTGACAGTTATAGTGAAGGTGAAGGGGAAAAGAGTGGACAAGTAGTTCCTTTGAAAACTGAACTGAGAACAAACGGGAATAAAACCTAATAGCAGTATGGCTTGGAGTTGGTGAGTGAAAGAATATATTTACGCAGTCAGGTCAAGGAATTTGAGACGGTGAGTGGGAAGCTGCAGAGGCTCAGCTGTTTAGAACTTAGTGTGACTCCTTCAGGGATGAAGAAGGTTCAAAAGACTGCTGATGAGTTTACTTGGAAAATGGTGAATAATCACAGCTAGGACAAGATTAGAAGCATTTTGCAACAACCTAAAATTTGCAGGAGCTCATCGCAACAGGACGAGTCACGAAGGTTTTGAAGAGTCAGAGTTGAGGACAATTGCTTAAAATATTTAGTGCAAGGTACAGTTAAAGTTTTGTGGAGATTGGATAGAACATGAGGGAGCAGAGATTATATTGGGTGAAGCAGAACTTTGCTCTGGATTCTGAGGGAAGCTGCTGAGAAACTGGTGAGCAGAGGTCTAGGAATACATGTGGGGCCAAGCCTCTGGTTTTGTGGAAACATTCAGACTGCAGAATGCTGAGAGTGAACATTTAGGCAGATAGCCAGAAGATGTTTAGCAGTTTGGTGGGAACTGTGTAACTCTAACATGATGGATAATTGTTGATATTTGACATTGCAATTATAAATATTTATAGAGATAGTTATGGTATAGTTTTAAGTTACTCAATTATGAATTAATAGAACATGTACATCATAGCCTTTCAATAGTATGTATATTCAGATAGTTCATAAGAATGGAAAAACATAATAAAAGGCTATACAGCTCATTGTAGTTGCAGCACCCTTCAATAGGATCACGACTGATCTTGGCATGTCCACATCCAACTCGGATGGAGAATTCCAAACATTGACAATCCTTTTTGGGTGGAGAAATTAAATGTGTCTATTTGTCTTGATTTCCAAGCCAAAGGATTCCAGTCTCAATCCCTTCATAATCTTGAATGTTTCAGTAAGATCTCCTTATTCTAAATTCCAGAGCGTAATGGTCCAGTTTACTCATGCTGTCATCCCATGGAACAATTGAGTGAACTTTGACTCCTTCCAATCCAAGTAAATGCTTCTTTAGATACTGAGATCAAAATTGCACATTATTGAGACCACACTTGGAGTACAAAGCCTCATAATTTTAGCCAGACTTTTAAGTTCTGTCATACCAAATGAATATAAATGAGTATTTCTGAAAAAGACACATTTTGTCGAAGTTCTTCATCTTGCACTTATTATTTGTCACATTTAGTATTTCCAAGAATACCAATAGAAGTGAAAACCATCACTTGTACCAAAAGAGTGTACTGATTTTGCTCGGTTGGCAAGTGGACTGTGGCACAGCTTTGCCATGTAACAGTTGATGATTGACAGTTAACTGCCAGGCTTTGATTAGATTTTCTTCAGTCAGGCAGATTTGATTCTGATTAGTCAGGGCATTGCCTATTGATAGCTGATTTTTTTTTTTTTAAAAAAAAAACGAAAACAGCTCTTTTTAATTGCAGTCCACAGTTTTTTTTGTACAAAGCTATAAGAAAGACACTGGTTCTTGCATGGGACAAGAAGATAAGGTGGTTTAGAAGGCATGTAGGATACTTGCCTTCATTAATAAAGGCATACAATACAACAGAATAGGGGTTATGCTGATGCTGTATGTAACACTGTTTAGGCTACAACCGGAGCACTGCATGCAGTTCTGGTCATGATATTTATAGGCAGGATGTGATCACAGAAGGGAATGTATGGAGATGATTTACCAAGATGCTGCCTGGGCTGAAGTTTCCAAGTTCTGAGGAAAGATTTGGATAGGCTGACCTGATAGAGGTATAGAAGAATTTGAGAGACATAGATAAGGTGGTGAGGAGGTGGTTTTTTTTCTCCAACAAGTCAGTAACTAGGGGACAGAGCTTCAAGGTGAGAAGGCTAAGAGAAGATTTTTTTTTCAGCCAGAGGGTGGTGCAAGTCTAGAACTGTGCCTAAAAAAGTGGTTTAGTCAGAAACCCACATAACAACATTTTATGCCATATCATATATATAAATATATGTATGTTCACTTACATTGTGGTTGCCTCTGGGGCTATGGGTCAACAGCTGGAAAATGGGCATAGTGTGGTCAGAAACAAAGAAGGAGAATGCTGGAGAAACAGAGCAGGTCTGGCAGGATCTGTGCAGAGAGAAAGGGAATTTAACACTTTGAGCCTGACATGAGTCTTCAGAACTCAAAGTTCAGAACTGTTCCAGTTGTGAAGACTCATACCACATTTGCAACATTTTAACACTGTTTGTCTCTCCCCAGATGCTGCCGAACCCACTGGGTTTTTCCAGCATTTTCTTTGTTTGAGTTCTAGCATCTGCAGTATTTTGCCTACAGTGCAGTAAGACCTTTTGCAGCTAGAATGGGCCAAATGACAACCACCTCCTGTGCTTGTAAATATCTATGACTTTAACCTTTTCAGGTAAGATTGGGCATGTTTCAGAACAGAGAGTGAACACGTTAGAGCCTTCCATGAGAATGCGAGATATACAGGAAGAAATGATCTGACTGGGTAGCCATTATCCTGCAATGTGCTTTAAAGCCAACTTGTTTCAACATTTGATCAGCATTGTATTTTTCTGACTAACTTACCATGTGAGTCTTGGTGGAAAGCCATGCTAAAATCCATGTGCTTTTTACTTACTTACAGAATCTTCAATAATCTTGCTAATGGATCTTGGTTGCCAGGAACTGAGGTCACCCTTTGCAGCAAAATTTGTATTTACCTGGTTAGATTTTGATTCTGGAAGAGGAAAATAAACAAACAGCCAGTGTATGACTTAATTTTGGTGCTTGCTTTGGCACACTGTGCCACGCATTCAGTTTTTAAAATTTAATATTTGAAATAAATTATTGGGAAATGTCTGACTGATTTCAAATTTAACACTGGAGGCAAATGAGTACTTTGCCGCTCGCATAATGCCAATTGATAATGTACACATGGATCCATATTCAGACCAGTTTTTCTTTTCTATTCGTAATATACGCATCTTGAAATGGTAAATAGAGTAATTGCAGTTAAGCTTAAGCTTGATAACAAACTTGAGGGCATGTCTGACTGGGGAAAAAAAAGTTGAGTTTACACGAGATGTACATGCCTGTAGATATGTGTTTAATGCGGATAAATATGCTAGTGCTTTTCACAGTGGGAAATTCAAGAAAGGAAGTGTGCAAGGCAAGATTTAAATAAGAAATGAGGTTTTTTTTATATGTGCAGCATTGAATGCAAAAGGAAAGTGTGTATAGGTCACTTGTTAGGCTTTATTTGATGTACAGTGTTTAATGGGGCACCTCATTGTAAAGGGTGCAGTGAGGATTCACTGGAATGAATGGCTATTGTAGGAAAGAATTTTCAAGGGTTAATCTCACTGGAATCAAACATGAAGTCAGTCGTGAAGGTTGGTCACTCTTTAAAGGAAGTTGTGAATAATTTTTAGAAGTAGAAGAGAATTGTTTCTATTGTTTGATAACAAGCGGTAAACTCCAGAATGATCACCATGAATGAGGAGAAAGTATCAAAATTGTTGTTTGTTTGTTTGTTTGCAGCATAGGGTTTTTAGAAAGTGGGATCCCTTATCTTTTAAAGTTATTGAGGTCGATGCTAAACGATATTCAGAAACAAATTGGCTAAATGTTCCAATAATGAAAAATGAGAAGACAATACAATGAAATCAGATTAAATGGTGGAAATTTAAAACTAGTACAAATATAAATGACAGAATGATTGATTGATTGATTAATGGTCCTGTTATTTCATGAAGATTTTTTTTCCTGTTTTGTATTTCATTACCACCTTTTCCAGAGAATGGACCCTGTGTTCCTGTTTACAAGTCCACATCATCTTCACTTCACAACAGTGATAGTTCCTGGTTTCACAGTTGGTGGGAATTATTGCTGATTTTGTAACACAGTGATTTAGTGAATCTTCAGTGGAAACATTCAAGGATTTCTTATTGAAATGTGGAAAGCATCTCATTAGTTTAAGTACTGATTTTGTGTTGATGATGGCAACAGTAATGTATTTCCTTGAATGTTTAAACTTTCAGTAAAAATTGTGTATAAAATAAATGTAAATCTTTGCAACATCTTTAGTATAAGTGTGCTTTTCTAAGGTTTTTAATTCAAATCACTGAGGGAGCAAAGAATTGATCTGTGAAATTTCCAAAAGTATTTGCTAAAACACTGTATTGTTCCCTTTTGTGTTTTCCAGCTCCAATGATAAACAGATTTACTCGACGAGTATCTGGTAGGAATACAATTTGTATATATAATTCTCCTTAAGTGATATGGATAGTGGGAGGAAAAATGAAATTCATACTGTAGAATTTAATTAATTTTTACACTGTCTAATTACAGCATTGTATGCTTAAGGACAATTCTGCACTTCACTGAATCAGTGGACCATTACATTATTTTCCTCTGGAATTATGTAGTACAATGTGCAAGCAAAAATATAATAGTGTTCAGCAGCTGAGAACACTGCAGAATTCATGAAATACTGTATGGGCAACATTTAGTAGTACACTTCTGATAGAGGAAAAATTTATTGCTTATGGAAACTTTTAACTTTTAACTTTTCGATTTAATGCAAATGACTCGTGTATATTTGCTTTTATCAATTATCACTTGTAGTCTTACCCTTAGCAGCAAGCTATTCTGTAAATAGGTTTGACAATTTAAAAAGGCTTGTTGTCCTAATTATGTAGTTAGAAGTGTTAAGATATTTGATTGTGTTCTTAGGATTAGGATTGATTTTAATCTTGATAATTTAGTTTCTTCTTACTTTCACATATAGAACAAATGTATAAGCTACAAAGAATGAAATGGTTAAAGTTGATTATTCCTAAGATACTTTTGGGTTTAATGTGTCAGAATACAATTTAGCTGAAAGTGCAGGTTGTATGATATGTTTCTATTGTACCAGTGTTCTATTTTTGTGACTGCATTGTGAAACGCGATAGCTAAGGCAGTCTTCAAATAGGAAGTAGGACAGTGGAGTTCAGGATGATTAGTTACATTTTAAATGCAAAACAAATTGGCAGCTGGTATTTTTGAAGAAAATGTCTCCTTTCTGGGTGTCTTGTTCACTATAACACTTGTTATGCCATAATGAATCAGCAATGACTATTCCTAAGAGCCTAGAAATGCCTTAAATATTTCCTTAACAATTTGTTAGCTCAGTTGGCTGGCCAACTGCTTTATGATGCAGAGTGATGCCAACAGTGCAGGTTGAATTCCCGCACCGGCTGAAGTTACCATGAAGGACACTCCTTCTCAACCTCTTCTCTCTCCAAGGAGTGAGCAGCCCTTTGGTCCACTAGAACTATGGTGACTTTTAAACTTTGGCAGAAGTTGGGGAAGTTGGCACAAAGTGGAGAGGTCAAGCTTAGGATCATCTTAATCAATATGCCTAGAACCACATCATGTGTTGTGTTTACTCAGTCATCTGGGGATCTCTGCCATTTTAGCCTGCTAGGAGAAACAATTTCAAATTTTGTGGACCCTCCCTAAAATATGACCTTTCTTTCCTGCTTTTTCAAATTGAATCAATGAAGCATTTGGTTTCACATCACCCTGAAATGGGCAGAGGAGAGGTGCTTCTGCTGGAACTAAATGGGCAATATTTCCAGCCTTCCATTTGGGGGAAAAAAACACTCCTTTGCATTTCTTCCCCGATACCCAGAAAACCTGTCATGGTGTGTCCTGAGGAATTTTGTGGTGATTCTGTCATTGAAACATATTGCATTTTCAGGAACTGAGTCAGCTGACTTTGGAATTTTTTAATACATTTCGCCCAGCACAGGAGTGAGAGGTTAGAAACTAAAATTTGTTGTAAGTGCAGAAGTAGTAAAACAATCAGTTCATGTGGGATACATCAAGCTGATGGGCAGTGTCCAATAAACATGTCTTTGCTTATGCAGGCCCAGTGGATTTCCTCCTTTTAAAGGCAAAGTGAAGTTTTTTTTTTCTAGCCAGCAATTTAGAGAGAAATGAAGAGTTCAAGACAGGCTGCCAGATCACCCTGGTATCCTGCTTTCCTTCTGGTGATCAAACAGCAATTAAATTTGGAGTTCCAAAATTATATCTTTGTGTAATTCAACAAGCTCCAATTCACCCATCTTGGTGAGATGATTGGAAAGCCTTCAAGCTAATAGCGTAGCTTTACCTCCCACATCAGATTTTCCATTGCGAGGTGACAGCTTAAATAAAAGCATTGGGTCTCATTTTAGTGTAGTGTTTTTTTTAATGTTTTCCTTTGTCCAGAGCTGGCTGGAGGCAGAGAGCTCAACTCCAAGACCTTTTGTGCCAGTTTTAGTTGGAATGTCTATGGATTACGGAGGTTTCAGGAACTTCTAAAATATGAACAAGTTATCAGCCTTGGCCATTTTGAATCCAAGAAAGTTGTCCAGTTTTAAAACAAATGGAATTCAAATTGAGAATATAGAAGGGAGTGCAGCCTTCTTTAGAATTTTTTTCTCTACCCTCTGGCCATGATACAATTGAAAAGTAAACTTGGGTTGGCCAAGTGCTTTTGAGGCGTTAAACAGTTTTGTGAACTGTGTGTGATTTTATTCACTCTTGGGGCATGGGCATCACTGGCTGGCCAGCAATTATTGCCCATCCCAGTGCCTCCTTGAACTGCTGCACTCCAAATGCTGTAGATTGTCCCACAATACCCTTAGGGAGGCAATTCCAGGATTTAGATACAGCGACAGTGAAGGAATGGCAATATGTTTCCAAGTGAGAATAGTTAATGGCTTGGAGGGGAACTCCCAGATGGTGTTCCCATGTATCTGCTGCCTTATCCTTCAAGATGGAAGTGGTTGTGGGTTTGGAAGGTGCTGTCTATGGACCTTCGGTGAATTACATAGAACGTAAAACAGTACAGCACAGTACAGGCCCTTCGGCCCATGATGTTGTGCCGACCTATTATTCTACTAAGGTCAGTCTACCCTGCATACCCGACATTTTACTATCCTCCATGTGCCTATCCTAGAGTTGCTTAAATGTCCCTGAAGTATCTGACTCCACTACCACTGCCGGCAGTGCATTCCACATGCCCACCACTCTCTGTGTGAAGAACCTACCTCTGACGTCTCCCCTACACCTTCCTCCAATCACCTTAAAATTATGCCCCCTCATAATAGTCATTTCCGCCCTGGGAAAAAGTGTCTGACTATCCACTCTATCTATGCCTCTCATCAGCTTGTACTCAAATTTGCTGCAGTGCACCTTGTAAATGGTACACACTGTGTTGTTGAGCACCAGTGGGGGACAAAGTGGATGTTGTGCCAATCAAGTGAGCTGCTTTGGTGGTGTCAAGCTTCTTGAGTGTTGCTGAAGCTGCACCCATCCAGGTAAATGAGAAGTATTCCGTCACACACTCCTGACTTGTGCCTTGTGATGCAAGGCTTTGGGGAGTCAGGAGTGAGTTATTGGCCATGGTATTCTTAGCCTCTGACCTGCTCTTAAAGACAATCTTCATGTGGGGAGTCCAGGTGATTTTCTGGTCAATGGTAACCCCCAGCATGTTGATAGTGAGGGATTCAGTGATGGTAAGACCATTGAATGTCAAGGGGTAGTGGGTAGATTGGTTTTGTATAGCACGATTATTACTTGCACTTGTCAGCCCAAGCTTGCATATTGTCCAGATCTTGTTGCATTTGAACATAGACTGCTACAGTGTCTGAGGAGTCATGAATGGTGATGAACATTGTGCAATCGTTGGTGAACATCCCCACTTCTGACCTTATGATGGAGGGCAGGTCATTGATGAAGCAGCTGAAGAAGTTTGGGGCTGGGACGCTACATTGAGGAGCCCCTGCAGAGATGTCCTGGAGCTGAGAAGACTGACCTCCAACAACCATGATCATTTTCTTATGTGCCAGGTATGACTCCAACCACTGGACAGTTTGGCCTTGAAACCCTTTTGTGGCATTGAGGAGTCCTGGCAAAACTCGAATGACTCGGTCAAATGTGGCTTCGATGTCAAGGGCTTTCACTATCACCTCACCTCTGGAATTCAGTACCTTTTGTCCATGTTTGAACCAAGGCTGTAATGAGGTCAGGAGCTGAGTGGCCCTGACGGAACCCAAAATGGATGTCACCAAGTGCTGCTTCGTAGAACTTAATGACACCATCCACCAGCTTTGATGGACTGGCCATGTTAAATCGGGTTTATGGGGATAGTGTGGGTCTGTGTGGGATGCTCTTCAGAGGGTTGGTGCTGATTCGATGGGCTGGCCTTTTTCTGCACTGTAGAGATTCCGTGATTTCTTACCTGAGCCAGAAGGATTTGACTGACAATCAGCAATGATTTCATGGTCATCAGTACATTCTTAATTCTATATTTTTATTTTATCTGCCGTGGTGGAATTTGAACCGGGATCATGAGTCACTGGGCCATTGCCTTCCCATTTCTGTGCCCAATTTCTGACTGGTTTCTTTAAATGTAATGGTCATCTTACTGATTACATTTCCTACAGACTCCTGATTCATTCTTTGACATGTCAGTCTTTTGTAAGATCATCTGTTTTATGACTGCTTATTCCCTCTTCCTTCACCAACTCCACAGATTCTTACCAATGAGCAATTTGTGTGTCTGCTTAGAGCATCTGATGTCACCTCCCAGTGATTAACTATATCATCCCAAATGGTACATCTCAGAAAGTCAAAGCAACAACAGAATCTAATTCCAAAGTAATATATGTAAATGTATACACATCCTATAGGCATGTTACAATATTACGAAACCAAAATATTTTTCCTTTTGCCTCAAAGCATGTTAGCCTAAGTCTTTACATTTGTCTGAATCATTGAAATACCGACAAAATTATGAACCAATAACATTAGTTTTAACCTAGACCATATGGCTTTCTTCCTTACCAAAAAGTTTCTTCTTCTATTGCTAACCGTAATCAAACAGAATATAACTTAATTCCTCCTTTTAATCTGGTTAAAATGATTAATTATTGGAGGATGGCTCAATTCTACAACTGGAGAGGGAGAGATGAGGATAAAGGATGGAAAGAAACCTGGGAAAATGAGTGGAACTGTTGAAGCAGCTGAACAGATGGATGTGATGTTGATGACTCAATTCATCAGCTGTTTCTGCTTGGAACCTTAAGTGGTGAGAGTAGAGAGCTTGCTGGAAAATATTTGGGGAAGGGATCGGCAGTAGAGAAATAAAATCTAGGGTATTGTTAGTACTTCAGAAATAATTAGGCATGATGGGAGGTTTTGACA